TTTTTAATACTGCCTTCACTTGATAGGAGATATATGCATCAAGGTAATTTATCGACCATATCAGGTTTGGTGGGGGATGTTTTTTTAGATGTATCTTGTGTACAAGTTTAGAGAACCATCCAAGGTAATTTATTAGCATTGTGCATCTCGTTTGATTAAACTGCTTCATAACCTCAGTCTTGTAACTGACAAAAATTTTGAATACAAGAGAACAACTTTTGACAAACCATGATTTTTCACAAAAGCTTAATGATGAAGAAAAACGGTGAGCTTCCTTCTTCCTAGAAGAAAGGAAAGAGAAAGATAAGAGTTCAAGGATATCATTTGACAAATATCTTGAACAATAAGAGATTTAATAGTTTCTAAAGATTTGGTATGAATAAGAGTTAAAATGATTCAGTTTCTCTGGATAAATAACCTTGAAAATTAGTTGCATAATTCTCCAAGAGTTCATCTTATATACCTCACTCCTTCTTTGAGCTTAACTGAGGAATTTTAGATGTCTGACATCTTTAGATATTCATGTTTGTTTTGTACGAAAATTTATAAGGATGATAATATTTGGATAGCTATGTTTATTTTTTAGGATTTATTTTTGGAATGTTGTAAATTTATGTAATGTTCAAAAAATGCCCTTACTAATATATTCATATAATTTATATGATAAATTTGTTTTTATTAATTTAGTATTTTGTTTTTTTTATATAATTTCATATATATATATATATTTTTTTGTTATTATGTTGAATTCATATCAACATAAGACCTTTTTAAAGAAGAAAAATTATTAATACTAAATATAAATTTCATTTTAACTTTAATATTTTTTGTCAAAGACAATTATATAATTAATGTTATATGAGGTGAAATTTATTTATCATTGTTGGCGGCGAATTTCAGAGAGGTCCACGTGTCCTTCGAGTGAGTGGCTTCTGTAGAACCACAAATTTTGGGCTAATCATAAACAGCCACGTCATTATCTATTTTATTTTGATATTAATTATATATTTAACCTTAAATTAAAATTAAAGATAAACTGACAACTAAAATATGTCACATGTCTCTTATTTCGCCCTTGGGTTGAATTTAATTGGTTTAATTGGGTCATATGTGAATTGGACCTGTAATCAATTTGGTTCACGAACTTGGCCCAAAACCCAAATTACCATGAGATCGGGCGGATTATTATTTTAATTTAAATAAATTTAAATTCACTTAAAGAGTTGGGTTTGGTCCAAAATTATCCAAGCCAAAATGTTTTGTAATTATATTGGGCTTATAACCCGAATGGAGCCCAATCCATGAGTTGAGCCAAAATCACTCAAGCCCAACAGCCCACCAAACTTGTGGAAAGCCCCCTATAAATAGAGAGGATTAGTACATTGATAGCTTATTTAGAGATTATAATTACGTAAATGGATTGAATGTACAAAATTTACACTTTTGTCTTAAAATAGTCTTCTGTAAGATGGTACCCATAATCAATTGGCATATATATCCTTCTTTATTTACACCTAAATATTAATAAATTTATGAAAATTAAAATAGTTTATTTGGTAGGTTAGATTTCAAATCCCTTATTTTATGACCATTTATACTTTCCAACAAAAACAATCTCAAAAATCTCATTTTCTCCCGCCGACAGTTTCAAAAGAAATCGTTTCAGTTTATTCTTCGTTCATCCTTCCGGTTTCTCCTATTTTTCTTCCGCAGTTTCTTCTGCCACCGATTTCTCCTTCTCCGAACAACATTTTTTTCGGCCGCTCCCTCATTCTCGTCGCCGGTAGCAGCCGTAGCAGAACATGCAGTTCGTTCTCGTCGCAGCAAACCGTGCAGTCCTTTATTCTAGGTGAGCATCGGTCGGTCGGAATCAGTCAAAATTGGACCTTGTCGGTTTCGGTAGGTCGGGAATTTTTTTTTACCCTTTTGTACAAACCGACCGTTTAACTGACTATTCGGTCGGTCGATTTGGTCGGTTTGGACTAAATACTAAACTCGAAAAGGAAATGGAAAATGAGTGTTAGGGACGCAAACACAGTGATTTGAAGAGGGAAGAAGAGGAGAAACGAACGAAGGAAGAAAGAGAATAAAGGGAAGAGGGGAAGAAGATGAAGGAAGAAAGAGAAGAAATGTGGAGAGAGAAATTGAAAAGGGGATACAAAGAAATGGCTACTAGTGTGCCACATCGGTGGGAAGAAAAATGGATAAAAAGAAAAAAAGAAATAAGTAAAAGAATCACGTGAATCATGTGTAGCAATTTTTTTTCTTTAATTTTATTTCATACTTTAACTAACGTGGCTTGTTATCAGCCACTCTATTTTTTTTCCTTTTCAATATCCTTTCTTTTGAATTTATTTTTCCCTCTCTTTTCTCCCCCTCTTTTTTTCATCCCAATTTCTCTCCCTCGTTTTTGTTCTCTTTGCTCTCACCATCTTTCTTTTTCCATTCATTTTTCTTCGGTTCTTGAGCTTTCTCGGGTGTAATACTGGAATATGTTTTTCTTTTTTTTTTAAATAAGTCGGTCGGTCGGTCGGTTCCTATGATATTGGAAGAGCCAACCGACCGACTGGTCGATTTTTTAGAGAGAAAAACCGACACCGACCGACTCATTCCATAAATCGACCGACCAACGTCGGTTCGGTCGGTTTTAGTTGGTCGAATCGGTTTTTCGGCTTGGTTTGATCACCCCTACTTTATTCCATTCTCGTCGATGGCCGCCCCTCAAAGTCGAGGTTTGTTTGGTCTTGTATTTTGGTTAATCCGTTCATTAATAATCTAGGATTCGCAATGGTATATTTTACATACCCATAAATGGATTTTTGATTTTGTGTATTATTTTGAACAATATTTTTTTCCCTCGATTTTTTATACTGTTTTAACCCTTTTCGAAAAACAGTTTAAGATGATAGCATTCCTTTAGATAAACTATTTTGGTAATGATTAAGCTCGTTCCTATTGAGTTATATATCGATCTCGGTTTTGAACAATGCTCCCTTTCAAGAACCCATCTCTTTAGATGAACTAGTTTTGTACTGTTAGCTTGTTTTTTCTATATGCAGATATAAATCATATCTAGTTTAACTAGTTTAAAAATATTATCTCTAGATGAAGAAGTATTAGAATCTTTTGTTTGTGTGGTGCAAAATTTAGGTGAATAAATACAATCTGTAGACTGCCGTTATGTTTTTTCTTAATCCATATTGTCAAAAGATTCAAATGTGATTTTTGTGGTACAAAATTTAGGTATGAATTTTTGTATATATGCGGATATAATATATATTTACAACTAGGTACCAATTGGGTAGTTACAGGAACTCAATAGTCRGATATATTTTATATTTATCGTATAAGTTTATCTTGTMATTGTATTTGATTGAATTTTCTAGGTTAATGGTATTAGGATTAATTCATAATAATGAAGCATGTGCTAGGGTGTCTAAATTGATAGAATAGGTTTTCGATCTTTGTTTGTTAATTGAGGATTGATGTAACACTATATAAGTTTATATCCAGATGTATTTTATATCTATCATTAAGTACCAAATTGCAAAATACATTCCAATTATGTTGCTTTTTGTTGCAGCTAAAAACTTCCTAATATTACTTTTGTCGTTTCTGTATCTGTCTGCTGAATTGTTTCCACTAATGAAAATGAAGCAAAAGATTGGTTTGGAACATGTTAAACTTTTGATGTCAGGTTTTATGGTTTTGTACATTTATATTCAATGGCTTTTTAACTTGTTCATGCATGCTAATGTATCATTTCATTATAAGTTGTTATTGATTAATATCCTCATAAATATAAATTTAGTTGCCAAGTTGCATTTTTACTATGCTGAAAATAATATGTCTATCCTAGACGTGTAGTTGCATTATTTATATGCTTTTCTACTGTCTATTCAAGATGTACAAAGTATTTTGTTATGTAATATACTTTTATTTAAAAGAAGTGGGGAAGACATTAATCATCCTTTCTTGAATTGTGACTCGTGCAAATCTCGGGGTTGGGCCTTTAATACTGTACACTTTGTTTACCATATTTTTTAGAAAAAATAATGTTCTTGCCCATTGTGCACTTACACCATCCTTTCAGAGGAAGCCTAAGGTTCTTTGGATCGACTCCATTTTTTCAGTTTTGTGCTAACTTTGGACAGATATGATTCAAAAAATAATCAAAACTGAGCAAGGTACATTAAAGAAAGAAAGATCTTTAACTATTCGTTTGATGTTTTTACTCACTGTTACAGTAAGATTAGCAATCTATGTTACTATGATTTCACAAAGTAATGAAGTTATTCGTATTGGTGCATTTTGGCTTCAAGTTGATAGGGGAGGCTTCATATTTGTTTTTACTATATAATATATAGTTGTACAATGGAAATTCTTGACACGGCTAGATTTAGGTTCCAGTTTTAGACTTATTCGAACTTCCTTTCCTCGTTGATAGTGAAGTTAAGACATCAAGTATATGCTTCATATTTATAGGTAGTATAAATAGTCCATTTTAGTTGCTAGTCATATTAATTGTCTCTTTACTCTGTTTCTATTGCCGCCGCATAAGAATTGTTGTTGTTACTTCCATGACATTGTTCATGCATGGCACAAAGAGATTGGTAGTCATTGAAAGATTTCTATATTTAAGGAGCCTTCATACCATAATTATATTGGAGCCTTCATACCATAATATAGTCTATATTGAAGGAGCCTTCGTGCTGATTTGCCTTAGTATGATTGAAATATATAATAATGCTACACCTTAAGTTTCTAAAAATTTTGAATATACTCGTATATATTTTATAATTAACACATATAGTTATATTAATATGCAGTTGAGAGGAACAAGTCCGTTCAAAAAAGGAAGTAACGGAAAGATGAAGACAGAAGTGAAAGATCAGGAAATTGAACCATTGAGACGGACAAAACGTAGAGTGGTGCTGCTTTCTAACGTCAATCAATCATCGTGCACTACCAAGTTTAGTTCAGCAAGAGATAACAGATCTATGCTATCTAATGTTCAAGATTTTGATGCTCCAAGTTTCAACTTGTTATAACAATTTTAAGTATTGACTTTATGTATTGGATTACATTTGAGTTTTTACTTAGTTATTATTTTCTTTGAGGCTAGATATATTCAATATGACTCACTATGACTTCTTAATTGTGACTTCACTTGATTTGATATATTGAAGGATTTTTCATCAAACTACTTAAGTTATACTACACATGTCATTTCTGAAATTATTTGACTCTACTAGACTACACACTTGGTTTATTGATATTGTCGAAGATTGCAGTTTTTTTTTCTTAGTCCATATTTTTGAAGTTTCAAATGTAATTTAGGCATGAATTCTTGTATACATGCGGATATAATATATATCTACAACTAAGTATAAATTGGGTAGTTATAAGAACTCAATAGTCAAATATACTTTATATCCTACTTAAAAGGCGTATATACAGAATGTTAATTACATCGCGAATAATAGTAGATTTCAAAAGTACATATAGAATATATGTTATAACCTATATATAACATAAACATAAAAATGAAATAACGAAACAACATGAATCATAATAAGAAATATATATATATATATATAATTAAATAGGAAAGGGGAACAACTACTTAAATAGGAAAAGCTTACACGCCACTTAAATAGGAAAGAGGAACAACCACTCAAAAAGGTTAGGGAACAAGAGGAGGTTAGTGAAGAGATGAACTTGTCATAGAATAAGGAGAGATCCCTTTGGGAAATTATGGAGAGAGAATGATTTGAATATTTTTGTAATTAATAATAGTAGTAAATCAAGATAATAAATCTTTTTGAAAGAGTGAATTAAGGGATTGGTGTTAAAAAATTGTATAGGGCCCACAATAATTAAAGAATTGTGATAACAATTTATGGAATTAAATCTTATATATTTTAAAAAAAACAAATAAGTATAATAAATGTAAATGCAATAAATAAGGGTAAAATCGGTATTAAAATAAAATCCTAACTGCAGAATTCTAAAAGTGTAAAATTAGAAAACTTTAGACATTTGTGTAAATAAGTTTCTGAAACAGCTCTCCTAAAATATTATCTCTTAAGGGAGTCTCCTTCATTTTTAGAGGTTCAGAATTTTAGAATTGAGGGAATTCACACAAAATTGAAGACTCTCTAAAGACTTGAAGATTCGAAGACCAACTTGAAGACTTTGAAAACTTGAAGACTTGAAGATTCTCGAAGAACATATAACTTCGATTCAAATTCAAGAACAAACATCTCAATCTTCACATCAAGTTCGAGAGAATGAATCAGAGGATAACGATTAGAGATTGAATCTACTATACAATACATACAAACAATATAAAAGTTCAACTCCATGAAATATAATTTCTCCGGAAATCTCGTGTGAACAGTTTCGCCGGAGAACTGATGAGCCTGCAACCAGAAAACTCGACACCGGTGTAGTGCGCCGCCTAATAACCTTCGACGCTCAAGTTAGTAACGTAGTAAAAAATAGGAAAAGACATCTTAAGTACAATTGACTAGGTTTTTCACTTACTTGGTGAAGGTGATGGTCTTCCCTTATATAGGCTTGGATGGTCGACTAGGGAGGATAATGGTTGGGATGGCAAGGGCGCGTCGTGGTGTACGGTGCATGTTGGGGCTGTACATCCCCGACAATAGGCGTGTGATGCCTCCGCCTGTCGGCTGTGAGGCTGTGAGCCCGCCGCCTGCCACGAGCTCGACGTGCTCCCTCTACCGGGATAGTGGAAATGCGCCTTCCTTGTTATTGAAGCGTATGATGCATAACCGTTTGTGGTCCTGCGCCCTCTGTGGCTAACACACGTCCTGCTCGGTTTTCACTTTTAATAATTATATTATCAAATTATATTTTTTTAAGAAGAACAATAACAAATGTGTGTTGGTTGTTTAAAATTATATATTCAAGAAAATAAATTCTTCCAAATATTAAAAATAAATTGAGATATTATATAATTTAGTTGAAGTTTATTTTATATGTAAATGTAATATATAAATATATTTAATTGCATAAAGTTGTTTATTAGTCAATGAGTGCATAATCTATTTAAATTATAAAATTAAAAATAAAGATGTAGAAAATTGATGAAAGAAAATATATGAAAAACGAATGAAGGGCAAAAATGTAAAGAGAAGACGTCCTGGACATGAGAATCTCGGAAACCCATGTTTCGAAAGGGTATCCCAATCGACCAAATGTCTTACGTATGAGCATCCTAGGATACCTGGTTGTTAAAAATTTAGAGATCTATTTTACACAGATATATTAAATACAAAATAAAGATTTTAAAATCCACCAAATATTTTTTCAATTCAGATTCTGATTAGACACACTTTTATAAGTTTTTTCAATACAACAAATGTGGGGATGGAGAGATTGAATATGCCATGACACAACTCAACTTGTACCAACTTGAACATCTGATTAACGATAATTATCACCAACTATAATATTGTTAGTTCCTGCATCCACAAATTTTTGTTATAAAAAACACAACTCAACTTTTAATTTAATTAAAAAAAATACTTAGGCTCCTTAACGGTTGTCCTCGCCACCGTTGATAATTTGAAAACTCATTATTTTTTAAAAAAAAAATTCATGTTTTTGCAACTATTTAATGGTGGTGAGAACAATTTTCTCCTTACCGGAGCCTAACCCTTTTTATGGAACCTTTGATTTGGAGGTTAACAGATTTTGAAATCATTTCTAGTGTTTCGATTGAAAAAAATGAAATCTCAAATAATTTCAAATCTCGTTTTTCCTTCAAGACTCGGTTGAAGAAATCATTACTAGATCCGAATGATGATTTTATATTCAATTATAGAGGTGTGAAATGACATCTTTTGTGAAGTCAAGTCATCTCGACCGTTGGAAGGTTAGCGCACATCATTTTTCTATTTAGCTCTGAAGCCGTCGCACCCGAGTAAGGCTTTAGCAGACATTGACAATGTATTGAAGACTAAGTGAGCCGGCCTAGAATGGAGCACATGTTATTTCTTCGAAATTACGAACACCTTACCTTTCGCCATTCTCGATCTCATAGGACTGATCTGACCTCTTAAAATAGCTCAGATTTGTGAGGATTCCAGTTTTAAGGGTAATAAATCTCTATTTTGCCCTCCTTTTTCGGATAAAAAATAACAATTTAATTTTGTTGTATAACTTTACCTACCTACACCCATAAATAATCTCTTCTACGCACAACTCTATTATACTATGCAGATCATCGAACAACATGTTTCAAAATTTTCTTTTATCTTCTATAGTTTTCTTTATTCTTATAGTTCTATTTATTTTAATAACTATAATTTAAATCTTTACCGACAGACTTTTTTGCATCATAAAGTAAACTCCATGTTGGTTTTCTCTTTTGTTATAGTGTATTTAATTTTTCTTCTATTTAATTATTACTTCGATCTTGTTTATAGTTTTTAGATAGATTTTTCTTCTTTTTGATAACAAAGACATTTTTTGGATGTCAAGAAGCCATGCGCAAAGAATGATTATATCAGAAGATAAGCAATAATAATTGATTTATTTAGTTTAAACTTAGAACATGTTGATTTAAAAAAAATTTCTTAATTTGTATTTGAATCAAGACGTGCAATTTTTTTAGTTTATTTTTTCAAAATAAAGATGACATGGTAAAATTTTAACTTTATGAATTTGATTTAATTAAATTATTTATTTTTTCTATGATTAAAATGACTGCCTGATATTAAAATATATTAATAATATAATATCTTGTAAATTATTGAGAGTATAATAGTAAAATGTTATATTTTTTATCATCGAATATTCAAACAATAAATTTTAGGATAATTGTGGTGGGTAGAGAAATCATTTTATGTATTTCACAAAATGTCACCCGTTTTTCAAAATTTCAAATATAGCAAAATATTTGAAGTTTTATTTTTTGAATTTTTATTATTCCAATTTTACCCTCATGATATCTGATATACATTCAATCTATATCTGATGTATATTTGTATTTGATATGCATCTGATGTTTATCTATATATGATATACATCCAACTATATAAGATATACATCCGATGATGTACCTCTGATATATTTTCGATATACATATAATGTACTACTGATATATATCTGATGTACACATGAATCAGGTCAATATTAGGGTATTCATTAAAACAGTTTAAACTTGTAATCAAGTTAAACTCCCTCAATCCAAATATTACAAAGTTCCCATTTAGATTGAATATCATTGCATATCATGGGCTCTTTTCAAATATTCGGCGAACTAGATGCACTAATAACTGTAGTGGACATCTCCTAATATTAAATGACAGAAAGTGTCCAAATGATCAATTTCTAAAGATTTCTATTTGGGTTAGTGCTGACATCTTGAGAATGTTATCTATTTATTCTAATTTTAAATATGGTTGCATTTTGTATTAAAATACCATATTTCATTCTTTTGTTAAAGTAAAATCAACATTATATTAGCTATAAATTAGATTATCACATCAATAGTATATCAGACAATCATATCAGTGGTATATCAAATAGTCATTTCAGTAGTATATCAAACACTCATATTAGTAGGATATCAGACGCTCATATAAATAGTATATCACATGTATATAAGATATACATATCAGCAGTATATCACACACTCATATCAGTAGTATATCACATTTATATTAGATTAAAATCAAATGAAAATCGAAATGTAGAGTTTTTTTTACCATATATCAAGTTGACCTTAAATTTTAATTTCAAAGATTTAGAATCATTTTATTTCCATTTCCATATGAAATCATTTTCTATCCATTTAGACACCAAACCAAGGGGAAATTGACAGATTTGACCCAAAATAGTTCTCAATTTGCTCAAACGACCTAAAATCTAATTTTTAACTTTTCTAACCCAATTTACTTTTTCTGACAGTTTAGAGAGTGTGTAAAGGTGGACATGCCCTTCACTTTTGACAGAAGAAAGGACGAGTACCGCTTGAATTTAATTAATTCATGGCCAGGGTTGAAATGCTACACGGTCGGGATTTAATTTCTTTACAACCAATGTATTTATTTCCCCCACCAGATTGTTGTATTTTCATTAAAC